TGTGTGTGTGTATATATATATATATATACATATTATATAAGTACAATTTTAATATTGTCAGAGTAAAAGCTGTTATAATTCAGTTATTTTATAATATATTCTGACATTATATGGCAGAAATGAATTTGCTCTGGAACCAAACGATGGTGATTTGACTCAGTAAAACCCAAATGTCTAAAATAATTATTATACAATCATAGATTATCTCATTCAGAGTGCCTAGAGGCTGTCACAGTGCCTGTCATAATTGTCCTCCTCTTGTTTTGCACCAGCCAGCACAGAAAGACTCCACAGAGGAACAGTCTGTACACCCATTGCATGCTCCTCGAACACAGACACACAAAACACACAAGACACTGCAGGCGCGACAGGAGATGAGCTGTTCAGAAGGCTTAATTAATGAGGGCGAAGCATCTGCATACCAGCATATGTTTAAGGCAATCACCCAGCATGATGATCACTCCATCTCACTAGATGACAATCAGGATGTATTAACCGGGCAAGACCTAACATGTGGTGTATGTCATAGACACATCCTGTCAGCATGGTCAAACATATTCATTAATGCCACTTAGTGTTATGAGACAGACAGTGGATGGAAACAGATGAACTGCACTGGACTGCGCTGCACTGCGGCAGTAGCCATTTTGAGCGGATAACCATCATTGATGGTAATTGATAGCAACATGTCCAGTAATTGTACTACCTACGTGGCAGCTATTTGGTGGACACTAATTTCCACAGTGTGTTTTGGTCTATTGGATAATGGCAGGCACCTTCATTAACAAGCTTGGAGAATAAACAATTAATTAGGGTGAAACCTGAAGAAGGGCTTTCAGCCAAGCCCTGTCACAGTACACAAATCTAAGATTGATACTAATTGAATCAACAAATCATCACAAATATTTTGAATAAGACGTAAAATGTAAATATATACTTGTATATCCTTCACAATGATTCCTTAGAATAAGATATAAAATGAAAAATATAATAAATGTGTGTATATGAATAACATTTTATTACAATTTTAATTTACAATTCTTATTGTACGGAATATATATCGTATTTTAGAATATATATATATATATATACAGTATATGTGTGTGTGTGTGTGTCGAACACTGTTAATATAACTTTAATTTTAGAAAAAGATACAAAAAAATAGATAAATAGAAATAGATTAAAAAAAAATAACCCCTATGCTCTGCGAATAACATACAAATAATTAAAATTATATGAAATAAAAATGTTTATATAAAGGACATTTTTATTATATATTTTATTATTATTAGAAATGTTTACTTTTTCAAATTATATATATATATATATATGAATTTAGATTTTACAATAAAATACTATCATCTGTCTATGTGTGTGTGTATATATATATAGATGATCTCATTTTACCCATAAGCATTATACTGTATATATATATAAATTTTAGCATAACTTTAATTTGAGAAAAACATAATTTTTTTTAATTTAAAATAGATTAACACTATGCTATGCTGCCTCAAGTCAAAAAAGTATTTTTTTCCCCTAAGTATAATTTCATATGAAAGTAAATGCATACCTCTTTTTTTTAGGTATCCTGTCTGTAGCACAACCTGTGTGGGGTGAGTTATGTGCCAAAGTTTAAGATGAAACAGTTATATCTGTCTTGAGGGTAGAACAACACGCTTGCGTTATTGAAGGTACATCTAAGAGATGGGAACTTTGTGTCCTTTTGCATCTAAGTTCACAGTGCAGTTGAACATTTCTGTCTACTGTGCTACCGAACAGGTCTGTGTACAAGACCTGGAGCTTCTGCAAGAACAAAGGCAATTCTGGGCTTTGGCTTATTGCTTGCTGAAGCTTAGAGGACTCTCAGACAGTCAAATCCCAATTACAGCAGTGAAGCCAGACTGCAGTAGCTGTAGTGTGTAATTCTGCAATCAGTTCAGCAGCACATTGATAGAAATGCACAACTGTTATTTACTGACAGATGATTGTCTGAAGCACTTCAACAAGGACAGAACGCTCTTAAGATAGAATAGAAAACAAGTCACCTACTTTTATGCTACTGTTTGAACAAACTTTCCCAAACAAACTAAAAACAAAAATAAAATAATAATATGCAGATTTGGACTTGTAATATCCAAATGCAAGTGCACTTTTATTTTGCATGTGCTTTGTCTTTGTATGTTGTTTGTTGAAAGAGTGAACTGCTCAAGAAATGCATTGTGTTTATTTTTGCATAATTATAATTTTTGCATAATTTTTTTTTTAATACCAACAAAATATCAGCTTCGGTTAAAAAAATATTGGTATTGGCCTTTAAGCAACCCATATGGGCTGAAGCATAGTTGATGTTCAGAAGTCCAGAGTGTCGTGCTGGTAGCGCAGTCGCGGGCTGTTCTCACTGTAGAACTGACTGAACCAGCGTCTGTGTTTCTGAATGGCTGAGTCTTCTTTCACAAGCATGGGTTTGGAGATGTACGTCTTGTTGTTCCAGATCATCACATCTCGTTCAAACTGTAACAGCAAAACCATAAGTTGAGATCCCATAAGCATCCTTTGGTAGGGTTATTGTAACTACACAAAACCGCTTCCTTTTAATAAACATTGATATTAACTACAAACCCGATTCCAAAAAAGTTGGGACACTGTACAAATTGTGAATAAAAACAGAATGCAATGATGTGGAACCCTGGACCACAAAACCAGTCATAAGGTCAATTGTTTGAAATTGAGATTTATACATCATCTGAAAGCTGAATAAATAAGCTTTTCATTGTGTTCTAATATTTGGCCGAGAAAATCGCCTTTAAAGTTGTCCATATGAAGTTCTTAGCGATGCATATTACTAATCAAAAATTAAGTTTTGATATATTTACGGTAGGAAATTTACAAAATATTTTCATGGAACATGATTTTTACTTAATATCCTAATGATTTTTTGCATAAAAGAAAAATCGATAATTTTGACCCATACAATGTTTTTTTGGCTATTGCTAAAAATATACCCAAGCAACTTAAAGGCACAATATGTAAGATTTTTTTATTTAAAAAATAGAACAGTGTTATATATTTTGCTGACTTGTGTGCTTACGTTATCCCAAATGTTTCGAAGAATGTTTAAATCCAGAGAAATAAACAATTTTAACTAGTGACACGAAGCGTGTCTATAGTGTCATTGTGTCGCCTGCCAATGACGTCATAACCCCTCGATTTCTAGAAAACATGGAAACAGCAAAGACGCTTTAATATGTTATGCGTTTTATTAGACAGGTGACGACCGCACAGAGTAGCATTATAACAGAACTTTCAAACGTATCTAGTATGATAAAACAGTGCTGCTTTTTTTCCCACATACGCACACGACCGGAAGGAGCGGAAGCAGTCGACTGTGGCAAAATAAAAGCTCCGCTGCTTTCGAGCCGTGTGTCACGCTCGTTCAGCGGCCTCGTTTCACTTCGACGGCTTTCAGCCTCACCCTGCTTCATTCTACTACCTTAATAAATCATTAGCTCATCCATGAACATGATTTCTGCCCGAGTCCCGTCGGATTGCATCGGCTGTGGGGATGAAGACCACAACTCCCATGATTCCACACTCAGTCACAGCATCATCTAACTAGGCCTTTGTCTCTTTGTTTATTTTGAATATGCGCCCTCTAGTGGCGAAAAGTACATATTGTGCCTTTAATTAGCATGCTTTGTGACATTTTGTGAATCAAACTTTTTCTCTCAGCTCTTCTTTAACCACATGTTCTCTCACAACATTCCTGATTGTTTATGTCTGAGTGTTGGAAGTGAAGAGTGTCTTCCTTGTTCTGCCGCAAAATCCCTAAAAAGAAACAGAGACAGACCATAAAGAAGACAGATTGGTTGTTAAAGATATGAAAGCAGTCAATCGCTTCTATGAACCGAAATAATACTCTTCTTTTCCTCATATACAGTAGAGTTCTCTGGGCCATTCTGTCTGACTCTCAGGCCGTGGTGTCTGCCTGATGCCCTGTGGCTCTTGCATGAGCTTGTCCGCCCACCCTGGACATGTCTGGAAGCTCTCTGCACTGTTTCTTTTTCTCTTTTTCCTCTTTCTCCTGAAATTTACGACTGGAGTAGTGTTAAGATGGAGGAGGGGAGTCCTGCCAGGGAAAAAGCACAGAGAACGGGTGGAGAGAGACTGAAAAAAGTTGAAAGCGAAGAAGCTTTTTTTCTTTGTAATATTTTCATTCTGCCAATCTGATGGTGGAATGTTCTACCAAAAAGAGAAAGAAAGTGGGTCAGAGAGTGAGAGGAAAAGGGTTGAAGATGAGAGAGAGTGTGTGTTAGGGTTTGGGTGGGGTGTTGGCTGTAATACAGCTGAGATCACTGGGCTGCACTGAAGAGAATCACATTTCACTCACCACAACTAAACACATGTACGCCTACACTACAGCAAACTTCAGTGTGATCTTCATTACATGTGATGGATCAGGTCTGGAGACTGCATGTGGTGTATTTCTGTCATATTTAAAAGAAATACCACAGTTATTACTATAAAACATGTTTTTTTTTATTACATCTTTGTTTCCATTCATTTGACTTAATAATATGACTGTTTTTCATTTTCTAGTTTAAATTTTCTTCTTCAGTAATTAAATTCAAAGTGGTTGTAAAAGTGCAAGGACTATCACAGCAGGTTGTAACTTCAAAATTTAAGGCAGCAATTACAGGTAAGTTTTATTTTAGTGAATAAAGTCCTGAGTACATCAGTGTGTAACTTATCCTGCACCGCATGTGTCTCAGATCGTGCTGCTTTTAATGCTATTACTTTTCTATGTCTACCTGGTGGGTGATAAAAGGGGCAGAGAACCTCCCATAGATTAAAAAAAAGGGCCTTAAACTTTTACATTTGGCAGATGCTTTTATCCAATGCGAAGTGAGTGCGTTCAAGCCAATTCATTTGGTGATAGTTGGCAATCTTTGCCAATGAACATAATCAATTAGCAGAAAGTTTTTTTCCCCTCAATAAATCAACTTGCTGTATTCGGTCTTGTGTTTTCACCAACTTTACCAGCTCAATGACACTAAAAAGTAGCCTCGAAAACTCCTGCACTTCTTTTCTTTAGACTTGACCCTTGTATGTAGCTGTAACACAATAGTCTATACTTTCATTCAGCAGGCATTTTGAAAGCCTTTATATGTAGCAGAGCTAGGACTGTGTGATAGAACTAAAACTGCTAAAATTTTAAACTTGACTTGTTGGAGTCGTCGAATGACATTGAATTGATTCAGCTGCAAGGTAATTCGTATGCTGGGTGAATTGGAAAGTTAATCTGCGTCCAGACTTTCTGCATGTCAGTCATAATCCCAATCTCAATCCCAGGGAATCTCTTTCATGCTTTAATCCTATTTGTATGTGGCTGTTGTCCCTTAAAGGCACAGCTCTTTGATTGCATGGCATACTGGCATAGAGGTTGTGAGAATAGTTGGCAAGTGACAGAATTTAATGTTAAGAATTAATATATCTTTTAAGAATTATATATATCTCATTATGCATTTTACATTCCAATTCCATTTCAATTTCATTCCAGTGTTCTGAGTAGGGTTGTCACGGTTGGGTATTTTGGCTGATGTCTGTTCCGGATATGTACACATACTGCATTGCAATAATTTCCCAAAATGTCATTTGTGTGGAAATAAAAGTGTGTAAACATGAACACAGGCCAGATACGGGACACGCTGAAGCCAGATGTAATGAGGAAAGGAGAGTTTAGGCACACAGCAGAGAAAATATTGCACCAAACACAGAAGCTAGTATCCAAATATTGGAGAAAAATATCAATACTGAATGATTTTTTGCATAAAAGAAAAATCGATAATTTTGACCCATACAATGTTTTTTTGGCTATTGCTAAAAATATACCCAAGCAACTTAAAGGCACAATATGTAAGATTTTTTTATTTAAAAAATAGAACAGTGTTATATATTTTGCTGACTTGTGTGCTTACGTTATCCCAAATGTTTCGAAGAATGTTTAAATCCAGAGAAATAAACAATTTTAACTAGTGACACGAAGCGTGTCTATAGTGTCATTGTGTCGCCTGCCAATGACGTCATAACCCCTCGATTTCTAGAAAACATGGAAACAGCAAAGACGCTTTAATATGTTATGCGTTTTATTAGACAGGTGACGACCGCACAGAGTAGCATTATAACAGAACTTTCAAACGTATCTAGTATGATAAAACAGTGCTGCTTTTTTTCCCACATACGCACACGACCGGAAGGAGCGGAAGCAGTCGACTGTGGCAAAATAAAAGCTCCGCTGCTTTCGAGCCGTGTGTCACGCTCGTTCAGCGGCCTCGTTTCACTTCGACGGCTTTCAGCCTCACCCTGCTTCATTCTACTACCTTAATAAATCATTAGCTCATCCATGAACATGATTTCTGCCCGAGTCCCATCGGATTGCATCGGCTGTGGGGATGAAGACCACAACTCCCATG